CAACTCGGGATACTTTAGGAAACGTCTCTTTGGATTCAGCTCATTCCGACTCAAAAACCCATTCGAAGCGTTCCGTTCGTGATTTGGAGTTGGAAGATGAGGCATTGATTGATGATGGGGTTTCTAGAGATGCAGATGTATTATTTCCATCTGATGTTGAGGAAGATAAGATGATGATTAAAAAGGAGGAAGGTGGGAAGAGTCGTGAGGTGACCAAAAGAAAAAACAAAAGTCAGTAATCCTTCTCTAACACTTTTGAACACAAGATTTTGACGTACAGGAATTCCAGGGGAAAGGCGTGAATCCAGGAACGGAACAGCCTCTCGGGACAGCCTCGGTCTACAAAACCTCATGACTGATTTTCTACCTAGTAAAGCCGAACGTTCACTTGCTGCTCACGAAGAACGCAAAAAATCTCGAGAACAAATGAATCTCAATTCCCAAATTGCCAAAGCAATCACTGCGATGTCGACCAATTGCCAAAATGATGTTCAACTCAAACGTGAGCAACTACGTGGTGAGGCCGTCACGAGGTTCATGGGAATGGGGGACACTTTCGATGAGGCTTTTAGAAAGGCTGCAATTATGTACCCAAACTCTCAAGATACCCACACTCCTCACGCTAGCGGTAGTAATGTTAGGTTGGAAGATTCCGAATCGTTCGGCACCTCCAAAGAGTCCGAAGATTCTAAAAGCTCTGTGAGCTTTGATCCTTCCGAAGGATTGGATATGTACGTTGAGTCCCCTTAAGTATGATGGTACAAATTAAATTTCTTCAACCTGCGCTCCCTTTTTTCACCTCGTGATATTTGGATCAAAAATAAAACCACTGTTCTGCAAAATCATTGCGCTGTTCTATTTCTGTTTTGAATCTGTTTTGACTCGTTGTTATTTTCAAACTTACCAAAATACCAAAAAAAAAGTCTTTGATTTCCTAGCTACAAGTTAAATTTGGTTACTCGTTTTTAAAATTTTATGTCTTGTTGTTATTCCCAAACCCACCAAGTTACCACAAAAAAATTCCTTATGATGTTTGCAGATAGTGACAAGTTAAAGAGTTGTTTGCAATTTCACTCCTCCACGCTTGAGTTTGTGTCTGCCACCGAAACTTACTTGAAATGAAGAATCTCTCGATTTCCTTTCTCATGCTCACAAATAAAACATAAACCTGATCCAAAAAACAAAATCATTTGATTACCAACTCGATTAAAGGACTAAGTGTTGGGCCATTTGAGGCATTACAAAAAAAAACTCCTTCGACAAAAAAAACCTCAGGGAGGATCTATAGCAAAGTTACAGTACATAGAGCCTCGATCAAGTCATGGTAGAGAGAAAACTTTGAAACAAAGATTCCCGTCTTTGATCACATAGGCGTGAGTTGCCCATAGCCGCATACACCTCTTCATCATGACTCGGGAAAGCTTCTCGGTGAGACTCCCATTCTTCTGAAGGTCCTAAGTCCCATGTCCCATCTACTTCTTGCACAAAATTGTGAATAACACAGCACGCTGAAAGCCATGCGTTGAGGTAATTAGCACTTCTTCGATCCTTAATCACCAGTCGTGACTCTTTACAAGACTGTGTACGGCCTTTCCAAAGGCCATTGGTATGTTTGGAGACGATTCGTGCTAGACTCAAAGCGAAGTTGAAATGTCGATGGGCGCGGTCGAGTTCTTGGTTCCTGGGCTTCTTGAAAGCAGGAACTATGAATTTTGAGGAGCTGTAACCAGAGTCTGCTAAGATATACTCTCCTGGACTAAAAAAAGATTCAATATTTTTGAAAAACTGAAAGAAAACTTAAACACGTCAGTAACTCTTCCGTGCGAAAAGACAAAGGAGGACTTACCTCAGTTGATTTAAGGACCCTTTGATCGTGTGCACTTCCACACCATCCGTGGTGAGCATAGATGATACGTCTTCTATGATCACATATGATCAAAGGTTTCACTGCATAGAAGGACTTTTGACAATAATAGTCCTCGCAATTCTTCTGTGGTGCATATGCTAGAGGAATAAGGGTTCCATCGATGAAACCCACACAATCTTTGAAAAACGAAGTGGAACCAATGGCTGATTTGATCTCGTTTCGTTCTTCAGGAGTAGGCCACTTGACATATTTGGATTCGATTCTGTTGAGCGCCTGAATACAACGGTACGTGTAATTATCCACACTCCCTTCTAAAACAATTGTCAGTACATGTTTTAAGTCAACGTGATATACACTCACGAAGTGCTTCCTTACCTGCCATTGAGAACAGTTTTGCTATTACTCGACACTGTCCACCATTTCCAGAGAGCCCAAAGTTTGCCATGGCGACCAAGAGCTGCCATCTAACGGGAGCTTGAGAGACGTTTGAATTGTTGTGAAATATCGGATCATCTGCTATCTGGTCTACAAGGGTGTTGAAAGCGTGCTTTGACATCCGGGCCTTTTACATACCAAAGAACAAATCAGTCATTTGGAAATGAGATGAAAACAAGAAGATATAACATACTGCAACACCCCATGTTCGATCATTCTCACTCCACCATTCGTCGAAACAGGCGTACTTTCTCTCACGTCGCATCAAACGAGGGATTCTATGGACAAGATATCGTTTCTTCTGCGCATGTTCTATTCCAAAAGCCAAGATAGCCAGGGTCGATTCGTCCTCCATGTATCGGCGCTTTTGAGCACGACTGAATGTCATAGCATCAAATGTGCTAGTCATGATCAACTGAGAGGCCATTAAGAGCAGACTGTCTTGCAAGTTTTGATCTCCTGTAGCGTCGTTGGAATCAAGCTGATCGAGGATAATCACTGCGGCCAACATGTTAGTGAAGTTGCTGGGGTTCGTGGTTGTGTTGTAATAGTTGGTGGCCAGAGACGCTACCTGAAGTGCGAAGAAACAGTTCAGGTAGGCCAAGGCGTCGCGGCGGACAGTGGAGGTCGGCATCGTGGAAAAGGAGAAAGGATGGGTTGGGTGGGTTTGAAGATAGGTGTTTGGGTCTGAAAGCTGAACTCCAAACCCGGTACACCAGGGTACACCCAGTTACCGCCAAAAAAAAACTGGGTGTACCGGGTTTTTTGGCAACCGGCTTAACTTTGAGACCGGCTATTCCTCAAAAGACTCGACGATTATCCCGAGCTCCTGGTCATGAACCTGCCAGTTCCACTCAGCCGGAGTTAGTTTGCGAGAAAAAAATGAAACAGGCAACAGATTACCCTTATCATCAGGCTGAGAGAGTATCGCAGCCATCGCAAACCCTGAACAATCCACTTGCAAAGATCTGGGTCTGTCAAAGTTGAAATGGCAAAGCAGGGGGGCAGTCGTAAAAGCGTATAAAAGATTTTTAAAAGATAAAAAACACTCAGGGGAAGCTAAACCAGCCACGACGTCAATATCTTTTTTGAGTTAAGGATGTTAGAGGTGAAGCAATAGAAGAAAATTGGTGAATAAAACGTCGATAGAAATTGGTAAAACCAAGAAACCTGTAAAGTTGCTTGGAGTTCACAGGGTAAGGCCAGTCAGTAATAGTTTTCAACTTTGCAGGATCCATTCTTAAACCACTCTTTGAAATTACAAAACCTAAAAAAATGACTTCTGATTGATAAAATTGGCACTTCTCAGGCGAAATATTCAGTTTATGTAGTTGTAACTTGCTTAAAACTTCAGTAATATGTCTTTCATGATCCTGTCGTGTTTTAGAAAAAATCAAAATATCGTCAATGTATACAAAGCAAAAAATACCTAAAAATTCAGATAGAACAGATTGTATAAAACGCTGAAAACAAGCAGGGCCATTTGCCAACCCAAAAGGCATAACCAAACATTCAAATAAACCCCAAGGTGTCCTAAAAGCCGTTTTCCACTCATCTCCCTCTCTTATTCTAATAAAATTAAATGCCGATTTCAAGTCTAACTTCGTAAAAAATTTACACCCTGACACCCTAGTTAACAAATCGCCTAATAAAGGAATTGGAAAAGAATCTCTAATGGTAATTGAATTCAAAGATCGATAGTCTACACAAGGGCGATTATTCTTTCCTGGAACCTTCACAAAGAAAATTGGTGACGCTGCTTGAGAAGACGAGTGCCGAATGTTGCCTTTCAATAATTGAGCATCAATCCACGATTTCAATTCTAATTCATCAGTTTTTGAAATTAAATAAGATCCTCCGTAAGTAGGTACAGCTCCCTCTTTTAAATTGATAGCCATGTCAAAAGCCGGTCGATGCGGAGGTAAACTCGATGAAGCCTGTGGTTCAAAAACATCAGCAAACCGATGAAACTCAACCGGAATGGAATGTAACACAGATTTTGAAAAGGAATTGATAATGGTTGAAGAAGACAAAAATTTTGAAGACAAATTAGGTAAACATTTACCAGTTAATTTAGGCAATCCATCATTAACTGGTGACTCCAGGCGAAGGGAAGGACCACATCCGCCGACCCATCCTTGATGACATCTCAACCAGTCCATCCCAAGAATCAAATCGTAACCTCCAAGAATGGTGACATCCAATTTGATGGTTGAGTTAAAGAGTATGTTAGAAGTGTCGGAAATTGATAGTCCACCTTGCCAATAATGAGTCACTAAGCCGTCTTTTCCTGTTGATCCGTCAAAAGTCACACATTTTAAAGGAAAAGGCCTAAGTTTAATATGAAAATTATTTTTTTGTACGAAATCCTTGTTCAAGAAACTACCAGATGCTCCTGAATCAACTAAGGCTTTAGCCGGAAAAGTCACACCATCAACCACAAGGTCCACAGACAAAATGAGTCTAGTATCAGATAATGAAGAATTTGAAAAATGAATCGCCGAAATAGACGAGTCTTTCACCGTGTCCTTGATCCCGTCATCTGTCGGATCGAACATTGGTTGAGCGTCGAAAGAAAAAGGTTGTGATAAATCTTGAGAGTTGTCATAATATGTAGGTTGATTGATATTTTGATACTCCGAAAACAGAGCTGCCACTTGTTGAGTAGGATCTGACACACCCATAGCAGGTGGCATACCTAAAGCTGCAGGTAAACCAGGATGATGTAAAGGCGTGACACCCGAAGCTGGAGGTCCAAATTGAAAAGGTTGCATATGCGGAGGTTGTTGATAACCTGAAGCCGAAGTCGGTACTTGATAATATCCTAACGAAACGTTAGGAGGTTGAGAAAAAGCTTGCGGTACCGGTGAACTTTGCTGCTGAACCAATTGAGAAGATGGTCGCTGAAAACGAGCCGGATTTGACTTTTGAGGTGAAGATGAAATAGCTGAAACAGAAGAGTGCGGCTTTGCCTGATATCGCTGCATAAATGCCTCGATTTCTTGAGTAGTTTTAGGTGGCGGATTTGGACAACCAAGACTCTTACCATCTGGACCTTTGTGAGTCGAATTGTAAGGCTTCAAACATTTGTGACACATAGATCTAGCATGACAGAATTTCACAAAATAACTAAAATGAACACCACTAGGTAACGGAGGAAAAGTTCGTCTAGAATCGGTGGCATTGATATCCACGTCCATAGCGTTCGGATCACGAGGAATTTGAACAACCGGAGGTGAAGAGGCGGCTCGTTGCATAGAATGAGATTGCCCTAAGGAAGCATGATTAGCACTGACATGCATAACTTGCTCTGATGCCAGTAAAGCGACCGCTTGACGTTCCTCGACCGTAGAACACTTAAACCAATCGGGATGTTTCAAAGCTCGGTCCTTAACGTCAGGCCTCAAACCAGAGGTAAAAAGATTTTTCAACACTACTCCAGAAAGTTGTAATTGAAAAGCCATTGAATTGAAGCGTGAGATGAATTGTCCAACAGGTAATTTTCCTTGCTTGAATGATTGTAATTCTAAAAATAATCTTTCTTCTGCAAACTTGTCACCAAATTTATTCAAAAACTCTTTAAAAAAATTCTTCAAAGAACGTATCGATAGTGAAAGGAGTCGGAGTTACAGAAAAATCATCCGCTTCCGTTACCCCATTCTCGCGGTCATTGAGTCGTAATAAGCTCATCCACCAATCGTGTGGTCCGGACGCGATGGGGAAATGTTTTGCAACCCAAGTGATACGTCGATCGTCGGAAGCAAAGCAGGCCGAATTTGCAAACAAAGAGTCACGAACCGCACCGACAAAACCCGGAACCTTCCTAGCATCGGATCCGTCAAAGACTACCCCTTGAATAACTGGAGGTTCAGGAACAGCAGCCGGAGTAGAAGGTAAAGTTACTTTAATTGATTTTAACTCGTCATCTAACACGTCAAGACAGTCCTTCTTAGTACGTGATAAACCGTCATTCAATCCATCATGAAGTTTGTCAAATCCCATCTTGAGACCATCATTGATTTTTTCTTCCAAACCTTGTAAAGAAAATTTGTCCTTGAACTCATTACGAATCGTAGTCAACACCTCAGCTTTCACTTGAATGATCGAAGTCCTAAGTAACGCCTCTATAGCCGCTGATGCCGTTTGATTTCGTGTGTCTATCAAGGAATTAACATTGCTATTGAAAGTGTCGAATCGTGGTTCTAGATAGCGATTTACGAATTGTTGCTCTTGAGATGTAAGTATGTATAAAGACTCAGATTGGTTGGTTGGTTGAGACATGATTAACAAATGTAGAAAGAATATAGAAGCAAAATGTAACACTAATTGAAGAGTAAAAAAATATTGCTTTAATGAATAATACTGTCGTTCTCGAAAAGCTTGTCCAAGTTTTCCCGCCAAATTGCTCGAGTTTTGCGGGAAAACTCGGACAAGCTTTTCGAGAACGACAGTAGTACTTCTCAGATAATTGAGTAAACGAGGAATTAAAAGGTTTCAGTAGATAAGAAATCCAAGTTTTAAAAGTCGACAGGAACCACCACAAACATAATGATGTAATAATGACGTAATAACAAGTATACATAAGTGCAGGTATTATACCTTCCAGTAAAATTAACAAAACTATTCGCATAGTTTTTAACGATGAATTATACACACATATTAACATTATGACCATATAAGAAAATAGAATAATATCCATAGTTTTAAAATCATATGCCAAAGAAAACAATATACACATTTTAATGTAAAAGAAAAAAAATAAGAAAAAACACAGAAAACTAAAAATCGGGAAACGGGTTTTAAAGATCGAATTATACTGTAAGAGCATCCACAACGGTCCACCTACTTTGCGGGCCCCCAGCGATGTAGGGGGTCAAAACGCAAAAAAACGCTCCAACGGAGCTCGCACAATCGGGGGTGAGACGTCGGGGGCCTCCAGATTTCCATCCGGACCCCCCACATCTGCGAGGTCTATAGGGGCTCCCAATATCACGTGCCACTGCTTCCACGTGACCGATATAGTCACGTCTCAAACCGCACTCGAAACAAGATGATATGGTACAAGCATACCATATCACTCAATCGAGTTCTGGCCCCTGACTTCAAGTGCACCGCTGTGGACACCTGTTTTTTTGACCCCCTACATCCACAAAATCAGGATCGGGGGTCTGTTCCAGGGCTCGCAAAGTAGGTGGACCGTTGTGGATGCTCTAAGGGCTCTGGTCTAGGATCCTGAATAGCATAGCTTATGTCAGGATACCTAGGTAAGTTTTTAAGAGTGACAAAAGATACTTTAATAATTCGATAGAGAAAAGGAAAACAAATTGTAAAATACTACTACATATATATATGCACAATTTCATCTAACTATTGTTCTTTACAATATCTAACCATATTCAAATCATTCTTTTAAACATCTAATTTCGTAACCAAGTTATTTGTAATGTTTTTACAATTCTTTTTCTTAACTCGTAATTTCCAATCAAACTTGTTTTATCCTCTACATGTAATTCCATAAATCTTTTTACATATTTGAATTTATTACACTCTCCCGGGCTCCATTGAAAGAACACAATCTTTTTAGATGTACGTAAGTACATAAATGAATCAATAGAAGAGAAGATCGAGAAAACGTGATTTCAGAGAGTAATTTTACTCAAGTTATGTATCAACCGTTTAATGTGTACATGTCATTATGCGGTACACACATTGGATTCCTTAGTTGAGTCTGGGCGAGAGACATTTTCCAGCGGTGTGTTCAAAGCTGTTCAAAGATTGTTTCCATGATACATGAGGATACATGGAAATCGAATCCACCCTGTTCCCGTCAGAGCCTTGTAAGGAGAAGTTCACGCAGCACTTCCAGACTAGAAGCCTGTTGTGATTTACTTGTCATTTGGTATTTATCGGATATCCATTGCTTACGCTAGTTTAATTATCTTCACCAATCACCGGTGTCACCAATTTCCCTTGTCGCCTCAACTTCCATCAAACACACGCTTATCGAGATTTGTCAAATCGTGAACGGCTGTGGCTATCTGCACCATAGCTAGGTATGTTCGCCTCCGCTATTGAGCCATCGATTGCCTCGTGAATTGATGTGCTCCTCACCCACTAGGATTTTCTATCATGAATCATTTCAAAATGAAGATGAAACGCTTAAGCTTCACATCACATTCTAGTGGATGCACCGAGACCACTCGCAGCAGCTGGGAACCCACTTCCGGCCTAGAAAACTCCAGCCCATCTACTGATGACCAGAATGATGACCAGGGTTCTTTTGGTCACCAGCTCCCCAGTCGTCTGCATACCTCATCCTCACTACCGGTTGGCGCAAGACACCCTCCACCACCTCGATATGACAGCTACCCCTCCTTTACACAGGTTGCTTTTGGCAGCCCTCGTGCTCTTGGACCGTATGACGACAACACGGCCCTTGCCCCCCACAAGGGACTCATTTCACGCCACCGTTCCGATTCGGCGCCAATTGAAAACAGTCCGCAACTTACAGCGTCCTCCCTAGAAACGACAACGCAGGAAGACGACTTACTGCGCTGTATTCGCGCGATAACCTACCCTTCCCCGCCTATCCGGGACAGCTACAAAAAGAATTCTTCTACCGCAGGCCCACATCTCGGGGTTCAAGAGGAGACTTTTCATTCGAACACTGAGCTCGTAGATATTGATATAAGGCGAGTGATTCTGTGGATATAAAAAGTCGTAGCATGGAGTAATCTGACAAGTATAACATGTTTAGCACTCTTGACATTTATCGTGGAGAGGCAGAACAAGACACGGACCAAGGCCGGGTCGCACGCAAAGGGTCTTCTACCAAAAAGCCCACATTTACTTTTTGCAGAGCGCCTAGCCCGACCATGCCATCATTCAGCCGGTGCAAAGCATCTTCAGCTGTCGATCTCACCACTCTGAAGGCTGCTCAACAAGCTAGTCAGAGTACACTAGACAATCTCCCTAGCCGCATTCTCAGTCCTCTTCCACCGACTCCCACTAGTGAATCCGCGTCATGCAGTCAAGACCTTACTGCACCCTTGGTATTAGATCTTCAGACTTTTCAGAGCTATCTTTTGCTGGAGGAGTTTCGCACAGCTTTTCGCGAATGGCTTGCACTGGATCCGGAGCTACATAAGGAAGGGTTAATGAAGCTGGATTGCTACGTCGATCAACGAAAAGCTGAGGCGCTCGTGAAAGACGTGCGCAAATACAGCCTCTGCCTTTTCAGTTGAGTCGAGCAAATCGTGATTTTGTCTTTTATCACGGCGATTTGACTCAAGTTGAATTATATGAACAGGTGTTTATCATGCTGACGGTACACAGGCAAGGTCAAGTTTCCTGCCTGGTTCTGTTGTGGAAGATACGTTAACCAATCTGTCAAGATTGGCCGTTTTAGAAAGCGGATTGGAAGCCAATCAAGCATGTCTAGTCTCGTCTCTTCATGAGAATGAATTCCATGTGAGTGTAGATTTGAAGATTCCTTATGACTCATCTGACAGTATGAATGACCAACATACGGATATGTTTTGACACTCATCTTAACTACACAGATGTTCATAAAATCAAAGTTGTTCGCGAAAGTGAAAAACCGACGGAAAGGACACACAGAATCCAGTACATCAAATGAGATCAACCGCCCAAGTTTCTGCGTGACCAATCCCCGGGTACCGTAAGTAGATACCTGAGCAACATGAATAAAAAGCGACAGTATTGTAAGATAAATCTTTATCTGACGATCAGATATATTGTTTCGACAATTTTTGTTCCCATGTGGCATCAATTCTTTCTTCCCACAGTAATAATCCGATCGTCATGGTCTCTACGGAGTTATTGTAAGATAAAACTTTGTTCTCACTGTACTCGTGGTTAATAACTAATCATCTTCTCCATGGCCTGAATATCAGACAACTAACTGGATATGAAGCCAACGAGGTCATTGGAAAGCCTTGCAGCATGTTCAACGGAAGGGAAACTAGTGCTAGCTCCATTTATCGGATGGACACTGCTTTTGATGCAGGTGGATCTTGCGTAGAACTTTTGCTGACCTACAGGAAAGACGGACGTGCTTCATTTTGTATTTGGGCAATTGAGCCTTTGCATGACTCGTTTGGACAAGTAATGTGTAAGCATCATCATCATATAACCATTGTACGAAATTGGCTGTTGATTTTGCTTTTTGTAGTCTTTGTAGCTCGGCAAACGGTGCGTTCAATCATTCATCATTGGCACGTTATGTGGCTTCTGAACTTCTTGATTGTTGATATCTTGTCCAAAACGAGGGTAGGATGTCACCAGTGAACTCGAAGTTCCGCTGTCGAGCTTCTTGGATCTCAAGATACCCCGAACCACTGCCGCAGATTTGAAAGAAAATGATATACCGTGTTCCCCAAGGATGCAAGACTATCAACTCCAACAGCGCAATCTTACCCCAAGCCAATTGAAACACTTAACAAAACCTCCTCGGAATGGCTCTCTTCATGGAAGCCTTTACCATAACTCGAGCCGAGCAGCAAGCGTACGGTCGCTTTATCCGCAATCGATCGGATATCACAAGAAGGACCTTTGTAACAATGCCAGAGGTGTGGCCAAAGGCGTACTGCGCAAACGTCAGAGTGGCATGCACGCGTTTGATCAGGTCTACAGCCCACCCAATGGCCTTGAGCATACTTTTCAACCAGCCTATGATTTCGAGCCAAGCCCCACAAGTCCAGAGTTGCGGATCAGTGGTACGCCTTGCCACCACGTAAGTCACAAGAGTTAGTACATCCGACCTAGGAACGGCACCTAACTTTTGTTGAACCTCCTGCAGTTAATGATCATCAAGCGCCGAGACCATCGAATCATGTACGCAAACGAGAAGACATTGAAGTTCTTCGGTCAGTACCATGTACATCTCCGAGATCAATTTTCAAGCAAAAGTCGTCTAAAAATCCTTCGATCGAATCTTACAGGTCTTCAGACATATTCTAACAATGGAAGCTATGAACCAGCTCTTCTTAAACAAGATGTTCTTGAGTTCATGCATGGACAAACACCAAAAAGCACTCGAGTATTGAGGAACTTTGCGATTGAGCTTTTGGCGCGGTGAGTCTTTTATTGTTGAGATTCTTTGCAATACGATCAAACTACACGTCGTCTACCTAAAGGCAATGGAAAATCTTTGACGTCGTTGCGGACTGAGCCATATCTTGCTTGAGTGTTGTACTTATTTGTGATGATTCCTTTGCATCATCTCAGCGCTCGGTCTGGCTGTTGCGAATGTGAATTCAACTGGAACGACGATAACAACCTGTGAGTATCCGACCTATCTCATTCTCACTCGCCAAGACTTCTGACATGTGCCAGCGTTCCAAGTGAAAAACCTGGCAAAAGCCGCGTGAGCTTGACTGGAGAACTATGTAAGGCAGCTTTTATCTACTCTTGACTTGCCAAGTTTGTCAAACAATATGCTGACTTTCTTTCTACTTGTCTGTAGCTACAGTGCACGTGAGTAATAGTCTAGCCATTCGTCTAGTAATTTGGGCTAAATGATTGATTCATATCTGCTGTTTGTCGTGCCGAATATCTGGTCTTTCAACAATCCTACTCAGTTCACGCCTCTAGTTGTAGGTCTCTCTCTCACTATTTGGATTGCTCTTGATCCTCATCTAACGACTTGCCTTGCTTGACGTTTCATTTTAGAGTGGAACGGGACATTGTGCACTCTATGTCGTTAGCTTCGATTGAAGTAGCAATGCAGGGCCGTTGTGAGATAAGAAAAAGTTAGCAGCGACATCGATACCCACTCATTTTTGTGTGAGATTAACATTTTCGACCTATGACACTCCTTCTCTCATCGAAAACTGTAGTACCTTTCCAAAAATTATCAGCTTCATGTCATTCCTTTCTCAATATTTACTTAACGGGAGCCATTGAAGTGTTGACTACGTGAAGCCTCTCATTAGAACTGTCAACTTCACCACAAACATAAAAGTATGTCTTTAGGGCAGCAAAAAATCACTAGTCGTCAACAAGGTTGTTCCAGCTTCCTACCTGTTTGTGTGCTAGATTGACTCAAACATTGCATGTTGAGTCGCATTTGTTTCTAGATATGTCCTGTCCAGTTATGTTTCAAGCCTATGGATCATTATGGGCAGCAACAGCCAACTACTAAGTACCATTGCAAGTCATGAGCAAAATCAAAAACAAGACGCAAGAAAAGGAGCAGCTTTGACAGAGTGAGAGACAGAAAAGCACTCAAACTTTGACAACGAGAGATGGAAGAGATGCAGCCGCTAAGCCTCAACAATGGGTGTGTGATGTCCACATATGATTGTACATAGCTCATAGACGGATGATGCAAACACACGCACGCGGCGGACGCACGAAAACATACAATGAAATTGAACTCAAAAACACAATTTGGTTTGGCGGGCCGGGGGGGAGTGTATGTGGTACAACTACAGAGTATGTAGCCTTTAGCTTCCGTAGTATTTTCCCTTTTCAAAACCCTGGGACGTCTGATTCCGCGATATCATCCGAATGTACATGATTAGACTTCAAGTGAAATTTCCTCAACTGCCATTGTTTCTTTTCTCAGCGTGTGTGTGAAAGATTGGTCCAGTCCAGAATTCACAAATTTGAAATTGATTACTAAGAGTTGAACTATAGTTTTAATATTAGAGTAAATTAAACCATACTTTGAAAAGGGCTGTTCTCATTTCCAAGTTGGCTTGTTGACCATCGATTGAAGCTTTATTTTAATTTTAATAGCTTTTGTTTACCTTCCTCTTCACTTCATTCTCAACTTTTCTTCATTTCTAACTTTGACCGGGCATGAGAGCTTCTCTGGTTCCTATCATACTGGCTGCTGCCTCATCATCAGCTCTAGTTGCTGCTCACTCTGCTCATCCTGGTGACCTTCATGGTTGTCGGCCACTTCAAAAACGTCAAGCAATTCCTGCCGGTGGTGGTGAGGGTGGAGCTTCTTCGGGACCTGCTAGTTCCCCTCAGTATGTCTTTCTTCACCATTCAACCTATCCACAAATTGCTTTTCTTGACTAACTTTTCTCCATTTTGATAGATCGGCTGGTTACAGCTGCGATGCTAATTCTTGCAAGCTACCTAAATGTCAATGTGCCTCTATCACGCCTCCTGGCGGTCTTAAACCAACTGATGTACCTCAGTTCATTGTTTTCACTGGTTTGTCCTTTATTACCTTACTACGCTTAATAACCTCTTATACTCACAACCTGCTTCTTTCTTCTTAGCGGATGATGCCGTTCAATCATATACTATCAATGCTGTCAATCAATTCCTCGCCCAGCGGAAGAACCCCAATGGATGTCAACCCAAGGTTAGGAGATACGCATCATCATCGTTGTTTGGGATCTGACTGATTGAGTCGCCAATCGCACTTCTTTCGTTTTTCTGGCAATCAGATGACCTACTTCGTGTCACTCAACTACACCAACTATTCCATGGTCACTGATTGGTATGTGGCCGGAAACGAGATCGCTGATCACACTGTTTGTCTCGTTTTAGCATGTCTCCCGTTTTTCAGCCTTTGAGACTCACTTCTGATGCTTCTCTTGATTAGATGACTCACGTCGGTGACGCACCTGTCAACGAGATTGATGGAAACATCATCGCTCTCAACTCACTCTCCGGTATTCCGATCTCTGAAATACAAGGATTCCGAGCTCCATACCTTAACTATTCCGTCAATACTATGCAACATCTAAAAGATGCCGGTTTCACTTACGATTCATCCACCACATCAGCCACCCCTGCCAACATGTCCGGTACTGATGCTTATTGGCCTTACACGCTTGACAGTGGCTTTGCAAATGATTGCTTATCCGTGCCAGGTCTCTGTCAGGGCAAAGTCAAACTTCCAGGGGTGAGTTTGACCCTTCTGTTTCAAGATTTTGACATTGGGTTTTGACAAGATTTTCGTTGTAGATGTGGGAGATTCCAATGTACGGTATCTTTGATGAGAAGCAAGCAGCTGGTGTTCATTTGATGGACCCTTGGCTCGATGACGCAAACCCAGATAACGTTTTAAATTGGATGAAGTCTACCTTCTTGACTCATTACAATGGAAATCGACAACCTTTTGGTCTATACACTCACCCTATCCATCTTGCTATGGGTTATCCCGGTCTAGCTGATCCTGTTGCATTAGTCAAGATGGTGAACGCATTCTTAGATTGGGCTCAACAAATGCAAGGTGTTTGGATCGTTAGCAATGCACAATTGCTTAGTTATGTACAAAACCCCGTTCCTATCAGCAACCTTAACAGCGTTGCTGCCCTAGGCTGTACCACGCCATCAGTTTCTGACAAAATCTGTAACGGTACGATCACCTTCTTTGTTCATTCATCAGACTGTACATTCTGACGCGGCTCTCTTACAGGAATGGTACCCAACCAACTTGGTCTACTACAGAATTGTCCCTTCAGCGACTTTCCTTTCACCACATGTTACGGATGTCCAGCGAGTCCACCAACACCTACAAACCCATTACCACCACAAGCAGTCGCATCCGGAGGAGCAAGACATCGATTACCTGCAAATTGCTCAACTCCATTCTGGGATCCAATTGGAAACAAATGTCTTTGTACTTCCAGTAGTTGTCAATTTAATGATCAGACTCGACCAATCGGGCCTAATGGGGCCAATTTGACTGGTGGTGGTACTGGTACTGGAGATAGCAATACAAGTCCAACCAGTATTTACACCCCATTCAAGAGTGGAGTCGCTCATAATTTCCCTGAGGGTCTCCTTGTAGCACTTATGGTTGCTATTGGATTCAGCTCAATGATGTTTTGATTTTAAGTAATTTATCGTTTTGCATCATCGATATCTTTACTTTTTTGCAGAACTCACTCTGGACCTCTCTTTTAGTTGATTCTTCACAGATTCTTGATTCTTCATTTTTCTGATTGTAGTTCTCTGTAATCCTTTATTCTCTGTCCTACCTTGCCCTTCTTTTTTGTTTGCTCTACAACTCTCCAACTTTTTTGGAATCATCAGATCTATTAATATATATCTATCTATCTATCTCACTACTATTCACCATCACTTTTACTAACTTACATGATTGCAATCGGAATTTTGGATAGATATGAAGAAACCAAAGTATAAGACATGATACTTGCCCATTGAAGATTTGGACTTATGTCATTGCATTTTGTCTTTGTTTGATGTTTTTTTTGTCTGATATCCATTGAACATTTTCATCTTTTTTCAAAATTAATGAAGATTATCTTTTTTTTGAATTGGTCAAGTCTGTGCAACTTTTTACACGCCTAAACAAGGTTGCATAGGTAGACCAACGTTGTGGAATAAAACCTTCGGGCTCAAAATTTAATTGAACATGATACTTACGTATCAATAGCATCAACAACTTTGCCAATTGGATTGTACATGCAATATACCAAATTGATCTTAAGATTGATCATCAACACAAGCTACCAAAAGAAATGGTCAAGAAGAGTGTATATGCATGTAACTTCTGTCTGCAATGTAGGTATGTAAATCTAGAAATCCAATCCAAACAAAAAAGTAAATATTACAAGCTCGATAAAAGAAAAAGAAACAAAATCACAAAAGGTATATTATGTATTAAATTTTAAACCAAAGAAAACGAAAAAAAAACGAGAATAGAAAAACCCAAAAGGGAAAAAGTAAAGAAAATGGAAGTATATTAATAAAAGCATTGCAATTATTTGAAGAAAGGAAACAAGAATAATTCTTGATTGATTTTCTTTAAATGTTTAAAGAGATTTGAAGTATTCACATCAAGAAAAGAAAAACCTTATGATCAAATCATTCAAAGATCGAAATGTATATATTCAACAAGAAGAAACTAAAAGATGAGTTTCTTTCTTCTTCATTATATATTAAACCCACTGAAAAGAAGGACCACGTTGAGTTTTTAAAGGTTTCTGATGATTATCAATACCTAATTTTTCAAATTCATTTGGTTTTACATGATCGTCAACTTTTTGAATTTCAATGTTTTTAGGTGTCAAAACTTGAGGATGATTAGTGATTTGATTCAAAGTAGCTTTCCTACTACTACTACTTTTCTTTGAATGATTCTCCTTTATTTTATGATCTTGTGTATTACTATTAGTATTGATGGTATTAGTACTTAAACGAAATTGACGTTCACGTTTTAACTATTCAAAAGTCAAACAAATAGATTGAGTATTTTGAAAGTCGGGGAAGAAAAGAAAGAATGACTTACATATTCTACTTCTTGTTGTTTTGCTTCTAATGCAATATTGAGTCCTTCAATATCTTCTTTCAAACTGACCTTTATTTTCCGTAATGAAGTTACTTTTACTGAATAACCAAAAGAGGAATGAAGAAAGAGAAAAATAGAATTAGTTATATGACTTAAAGAAGACTTGGAAAGGGATAAGTTATACCTTCTCGATCTGCAGATTCAGATCTTAATTTTTGTATCATCTCTTTATACTCTTTGAGTTTAAATTCTAATTTACTTTTAGTTTCTTTCAGTTTATTGATTTCATTAGATTGATTTTGATTTCTTTCAATTTCTAATTCAAGCTCTGTTCGGGTTTGATTTGAATCGATTTCAAGTTTTGATAGTTTTTCTTCTTGTGTTTGATTTTTTTGTTTTGATTCTGAATATTGGGTTTGTAATGTAACGAACTCAATCTCAATCCTTTTGATTTCTTGTTCTAATTTGTCTTTTTCATTTCTCAATTGACTTTCTTTTTGACTTAAACTTTCAATCATTTCATTTGTCTTTTGATCTTTCTCCACCATTTTCTTCAATCTTTCTTTATTTTCTTGAACCTCTCTTTCTAATTCTTTTTCATATTCTTTATTTGTAAAAGAAGAAGAAGAAAGCTTCTTCGATAATTCTTCAACTTGTTGATTCGAATCTTGAAGATCTTTTTCAAGTTCTTTTATTCTTGATGATGATAAAGTTTGTTTCGATAATTCTAAAACTTTTTGATTAGATTGTTGTAAAGCTTTCTCAAGTTCTCGTATTCTTTCATCATGTACACTTTCAACTTTTGATCCTCTTTTAATTTGTTCGTTATATCTGATCTCAAGTTCAGTATATCGGTTCTTCAATCCTAAGATCTCTTTCGATTTTTTTTCTACTTCGAATTTCAACTTAATCAAATCTTTGTTCATATGTGAACTATTTATCGCATTAGGTTCAATAATCAATTTATTAACTTTCTTAGCAGGTGTTAATAATCGTACAACCTCTTTCTCTTCTTGAAATCCTTCTATCTTTTCATTCAACTTTTTGATTTCCTCATGACATCTTTCAATCTCTAAAGTTTGTGATCGATTCCTTTCTTCTAATTCCGAATTCGAATCTCGGTAACTTTCTAATAATGGCTGAAATGTAAGTACAGATGACCTTGCTTCTTCAAATTGACTTTTTAATCTCATAGCTTCACCAAGACTCATTGACCATTTCGTATCACCTACTTCACCAAGTTTATTAAGTGAACCGATTTGAGTAGTTAGTTTGTTAACAATCGCTTCCAGTTTTTCGCTTTGTTGAATTCGTTCAGTTCTTTGAGTTTCGGCTGCTTCTTTTACTTTACGCTTTAATGCATTAAAGGCTTCAAGTGTTACTTGATTCGATCTCTCGGTTTCTTCTTTATCATCTTTGATCAATCTAAGCATCTCATTCTTGATCGAAAGCTCTTGTCTTAAACTTTCAGCAACCCTAATCACAAGAAATAAACTTTGGATTCAGTTTCACGTTCACTCAGCATCATTGAAGGCAAAGAAAAAACGTACGACATTAGAACCGTGTAACGATGGCTAAGATGGTTGACATCATTACGAGCAACAAATCCCGCAAGATTGTTAACGGGCGACGGGAGTGGGTGATGTTCAAAATCCGGTTCATTTTGTCTTTGATGATCATCAAGTTCTTGCTCTATAGCTCTTTGTTCTGGATCAATGTCCTCCAGCTGGTTCATTGGCTCTCCAATTGTCTTACTCCCTTGGAAATCTTCTTCATTGATCTCTGGAGCTGTGACCATCGAAAGATCCATAGAATGATATACCGAAACAGTCTCATTATCCAAATTATCAGATGTAAATGAGATTTGAGAAGGTGAACCTTGTTGTTGATGCACCAAAAATCGTTGAAGTTGAGAATGATTCGAGTTCAATTTCTTCTTAATCTGTCCATTAGCATCACTCTGATTAGTTTGGTTTACTCTTGGCATTTCAGATTCCACTACTTCAGATTGGTCGTGAACAGGTATATCATCGAATCCAAACTTTTTCGCATCTTGTTGTTTCTGCGTAGATTGATTTGTTTGAAATTTGTTAAGATTCCGTGATTGAAAATTATGATTGGAAAGTTGATGAGGTACCCTAGCATTGATAGATTGAGGTCTTTGCCCAGTAGCTTTATCCAAGTGAATCTCAATGTAACCAGATGAGGTATCAGACAAGGCAGGCGTTAGTGGACGTCGAATAGAATGTATAGGATTCAAGACAGGTTTGTTGATGACATTTGAAGTCGAGACGTTAGAATGGTTATAACTCTCATCCAGAAAGAGGTTTTTGCGTCGCAGTGCTAGAGGGGATTCAGGGGCTTTAGGTGTCGAATGAGATCCGCCTGGGCGGACTTGAGGTACACGAAAGGGAGAAAAGCTAGGTAGACCGAGTTGACCGTTTCCAATGTCAAACACGTTGTCTGCCTTTTGATGTCCATCTGCTACGTTCTTGGAAGCCGGGACCAAAGGGGGTAGTTGGCCTGAGGTTCTGTCAATTTGAGAAGGGATAGCAGCTTGATGATCTCTTGGAGTGTGACTTTCAACGCGCTCTTGAGAGGTCAAGCCGTTCTGGTTGTAATCCCGTTCATTAGCCTTTCCTGATGTCTGATTGAGATTCCGGGCAGAAATATGACTGTCTTGAGACACGTCACTTTCGCTGCAGCCTGCATGTTCTGTTATTGACGATTCAGACTTGTTGTCATTTTCAGTATGAATTTTATGATTCCTGAGTATTGAATAATCTCGAATCGTAACAGGAGATGAGAAGCCGAGGTCAAAATGAGGGAGAGACTGATCGTGAAGCTGACTGAAGCTTTTACCACTTGGGTTGGTAAAGATGGATTGACCTTGATGATTGGTACTATTATTATTATTAAAGATACGGACTTCACCAGAGGTAGGGGCAGTTTCAGTTGGATCAGGATCTGTGATAGGAGAATCAATAAATCTGAGCTGATAGTCTGATTTTGGTCTGCTTCGAGGGGGAGTGATTTGAGGGGGATGTTGAGGAGGAGATGAGATATGAGAATCAAGCGAATGATCATGAGATTCTTGCTTGATGGATGAGGTATCGGGATCGAATTGATGCAGAGCTTGTGAAGGTGATTGAACTGAAGAGTTAGCAAATGACAGAGAATGTGGATCGGATCCAGTGGTGTTCGATGGTGAGCTAGGGGTATAAGAATATTGAAGTTTGGAAGGAGTTTTGACCAAGTAGGATTGCCATGGTGGTTGTGCAGGTATTGAAGGAGGAATGTGTACTTTATGAGATTGGCTTGAAGGAGATTGAACAGGTGCGATAGAATGCGTGGGTGTTGATGATACAGCTTCAGTGTCGTGATTGGGATATTGATGAGTGTTATCTTGAGTGATTGGTTCGACGTGATCGAGGTTGATGAAAGAAGAGGTCTTATTGAAGGGGGGCGCAGAAGTGGATCTATGTGAAGAATTGAGTTCTTCCACCCGCTCCTGGAGATGATATTCTTGTGCAGATTGAGGTCTTGAAGGAAGAGGGTTGGACTGATTTGAGAGTTGGTTATTAGATGAATTAAATTGAGCTTGGAACCCAAAGATGGGACTAATTGGTACAGTGTGATTTCCTATTGATGACAGATGGTGTTCGTCGATATCAAAAGTTTGAATAAGCGATTGAGAAGATGGTGATGATGGGGGAATCAATGTTGCTGGGGATGAATCCAGTAAATCTTGAGATGGAATGTAATCGAGAGAATCGGTGATGAAATGATCTTGAGATTGATTTGATTGAGGCTTTGGTGGTAATTGTCGATAGAGTCTTTGAAATGGAGTAGGTGTTGTTACACGAATTGTCTTTTCATCTATAGTAGTTTGATTAGGACTTGAGGTGGGACTGATTGGTCTTGTTTGATACGAAGAACTAGGTTGAAAGTAATCATTTGAACTTGATTGATTGATACTTGATGAGTTTTGATGATGAGTAGTTTCTTGTTCGAAGTTTGATTCCATTTGAC